CATGATTTGTTTTAAAGCAGTGCAACACTAGATCACCACTGTGATGTTTGTAGCACAACAGGCTATTTAAACAAGTTGAAACTAGCATTTAATCAGTGCTACGTTACAGTCAGCTGCTAACAGACATAATGGCACCTGTGGTTTGCCGACTGCAATTTTAAAAAATGTAAAAAGTTTTTAGTTTCTCCATCATCTTCATCCATATTTCTCATGACTGAACGTACTTCCAAACATCCATATTCATCTTTTTTGTAAGCAAGAGGCAAGTTCAGGAACTTTTTCAGCCAGCTGAGCAGCTGTGGGTAACAATAGACTGAAGTTCAACTACTCTATTCCCAATAAGGCCAGAGAAAAACTTAACTTGATACCCATCAGCCTGCTTCTTGATACAGAGCAGCAAAGTTAACAACTAGGGTTTTTAAGTATTTTATTAAAATAAATCAGTAATTCAATAGATTCCTATTAAATTTTAACTGTAATACAGTTTAACTCAATCTTGGATTTAACTTCTAATTACACCTTAAGTAATGTTTAGTAATAATATTCACCAGACATTGCTGCAATGGTAAAAAAGGGACTTCTCTGGCTAAAACGATTCAGCTGGTCCTTCATTTCGGGGTGATGCCGCAGGGCGTACAATAACAAAGAGGGTGACTCATTCCTCGGACTCTTGACAGCAGGAGTCACGGCTCTCACAAACACAAAAGAATAAATCTTTCGATAGCTGGGTTAGCAGCAAGGGCATCATTAAATGTGAACAACTGCACGGGGATCAACAAATCAAAACAATAAAAACAAGTGGAAGTAAAAACTGGAAGAAGGCCGTATCAAAGCTGGGGATTTTGTGCAGGTTTTATTCTTTTCCTTCATCTAAAGCGATAACCTTGAAGGACAAACACTCCCACATGAATAATCGGTCACTTTGCACAGTTTAATCGCAGCGGCTCCATCGCTCTGGAGGACAGGGGGGTGCGGGATGGGAGGGGGAGCTGCTGCATGTGGTGTGAGGTGTGGGGAGGATATCACCTCGGAACAGGACAACCACACCCAAGCTCACACAGGAGGAAAACAAAACTCGGATACAGACTCAGCACATCAAAGACGCAGTGAGAGGTACGTGCAAACAGACATTTGGCTCTACTTTGGATGCTTTGAGGAAAATGAAACTTGAGCTGAATTTCGTGATGGAAGACTGAGGCATTCTAACCGTTATTAATATGTTTCCTCTCATTTCTGCATATAGTTATTGTTTGAATCAATTTTTTTCTGTGTAAAAGACCAATCCCAATTACTGAATCAGGCATCAGCCAATAAAAAGAAGACCTGATGAAATTGGACTTTTTATATGTCTTTATTTCATCTAAGCGCACCAGTTGTGAGGAGCTGCAGCTGTACCTACCGCTGTAGCTCTACAGTGTTTGGCCCTCTCAGACAAGGAACAATGTGCGCACTGCTGCCCTGTTAAATTAAATGTGAATACCTCAGCTATTGCAGGAAGCAGAAGGCAAGAGCTTGAAGAAAGCAGGCTGTCCTCCCTCCGTTCTGACAGCGGCGGCCAGAGGAAGGAATGCAGCTAATATGATAGCGCAGCTTAACTAGCTATTTAGTAACGATAACATTTTTTTTTTCTTTAAATGAACAAGCTTCCTTTAGCATCAAGTATTATGAAAAATACCACTGTTACTGAGGCAGAAAGCTTGCGTATTTGATTAGTTTTAATTAAAAGGGGAATGTACAGAATGTCCTTTAGTACACTCCTTCATATTTTTGTTCAAACTTGTTTCTGTTGCTTAATAATGCATAAAATGTTTTAAATTGGGGCCTGGCAATTGTAAATTAAGCATGCTCAAAATTTCTCGACATATGCCAGCGAATGCCATAAGTGGGTCATAAGTTAGAGGTAAGATATCTGATCGTTAACATACGTTAAGTGTAAGTTACTCATAAGCTGTGGTGTCCTATGAGTAACTTGTGCCTAACTTAAGCGTAACTTATGTCCAACGCATAACATATTTGACTTGTTCCAGACGACCACTGAACGTCTTTCTAACTTATAGCTACTTTATAATGGCATAAAAGGGGGTTCACAGGAGGAAACCGCCAGTTCTCCTCCGGAATTCATCCCCATCATAAGATGAGCGAGAAGGTGAGTGTGATGGATCCTCCCTGCGTTCATGCCCACGGTCACAGTCAAACTTCCAAGCACATGATGCTGAATCTGCTGCGACTGCAAACCTTCTTTCTTTCCTTCTCTTTTTTCTCGAGCAGGCGGTGAACAGCAGCTAGGTTAACACTGCGATAAAAGACATCTATCGCGGGCACCTCCGAGCGCATAGCAGCTCCCTTCAGGCGCAGCTGCTCTAACTGGTGCTTTGTAATGACCATGAAATGACGCTTGTGCATAATTTCCGTTGCCGTGTGTTATGCATAAGTAGGGCTGTCGCGATAATCAATAAATCAAATAATCATACGATAAATAAAAAATATCCACGTCATTTAATTTATCGGCTATATCGTCTCTGCCTGTGTTTTTCTCTTTCCATTGATGACGCTGGATGAAAAGGCTTAACCCCGATGCTATGGAACTGGTTTCAAAGCCGAACGCAACAGCCGCAGTGGGGGAGTATTTCGGATTCAAACCATATGTCCGAGGCGAACTGCTGTACCTATGTAAGCCAGTATGTCGCATTTGTCATAAAACAGTAGCAACTAAGAGCAGCAACACAACCAACCAACCTACACATGCACCTAAAGCACAACCACCCAGCAAAGTTTCTCCAGCTGGAAACAAAAAGTACAAGCGGTGGCCCGCCTGCGTCTTGAAGTTCGCGACAGTCCACCATCACTGAAGCAATTAATCGACAGGCAGCATGCAAAAAGGGCGGCGCAAAGTGTCCACTCTCACAGACAGCATAGTTCGTTTAATTGCTAAAGAGATCCTTCCATTTAATATTGTTGAAAAGCCGGCATTTCGAAAAATGTTGCAGACATTTGAAAGACAGTAAGAACTCCCCTGGAAAACATACATATCACAAACAGCAATTCCATAAACTGTACAGCAGTATTAAAGAGGACATACTGAAGGAGATACAAGCCACACAAACTTAATATGTTGGTATTTCTTGCTCGGAATCTGACTAAAGTAGGTACAGATCTGCTTAAGGATTGTTGAGGCATCTGGTCTTATGTAAGAATCTGCTTCTGTTACTTTGCTTTTTTTTTATATAAAATGGCAGTTTTGCCTATCTTTTTTAAAATCTAATGATGCACAGACTTCATTATCTGTACTATTTTGATTGAATGTAGTTTTTATTTTCACTGTGGTTTTATCTTGTGTTTAGTTTTTATTCAAGTGTATTTTTAGTTAACAGAGACTGAGTCCATTTGATTTTTATTTCTCGTTTTATTTTGTTAACCAGTTCCAGTGTTAAGTGTTCTGTTGAAAATAAAGTGTGTTTATCTTTTGCATGCATTATTATGTCATTTCCATTAAATCAGTGTAAAAAGGTTTTCAAACAATATTATCGTTTATCGCAATAATTTTTGAGACAATCGTTCAGCAAAATTTGTTTTGCTGAACGATTAATTGCAAAATTTGTTGGATAAGTTAGGCTACCGTAGGACGTAAGTTCTGGACTCTTTATGAATGCGCTGTGTATACACCCAAACTTGAAAACATACATAGAAAGTTCAGCGTATGCCAACATTTTAGAAGATTCTGGGACGTCGGGCAAACGCTGGCTAAAACGACAAGGTGTGACAGGGCCCTAAGTAACTAAAAGCACCTTTCAGCTATACAGCTGTATTCACCCAAAGAAAAAAATAGTTTTTTTAATTTAGACATTTTAGAAATACAACTGTACCTACATTACTGTGATATTTTTGCTTGGTCAGATATAGTCAGAATTTCACAGCAGCATGGGGCTTTTTTGCCCTATGCCAGAGCATGTAAACAGAGCAGAGTGCCGCAATTCCCACTCCCCGCTCAGGAGGATGTTTGCTCATTCGCCCTCAAAGTTGCGCCAGGACGCTTCGCTCAAAATCTATTCCGCACTCACCTTAATTTTCCTGCCGCTCCGGTGAAATCGCTCCATGCTCGCTCAAATTTTCAGGAGAAGGCATTTTCTGACATTTTTCCTTCATGTAATTATGTCTGGGCCCTGGGGCACACGGTGTTTGATTTAATGATGTGACCGATACATGTGTATTGTCTTATCTAACTGGCTTTTAAATTATCGCTCTGTTTCCAAGCTGTGAACGTAACAGCTCACTCCATTCATGTTGCCCTGCATTTCCTATTTAATTAATTTATGTTACAAGACTGTATTTAAAAAGGTCACTTTGCATCCCATTGCAAATGAAATAATAGTGTATAATGCATGTAAAAAATTTCTCTTACCACAATGATCACTTCATGTAAATTCACTCTGTATTGTTAAGTATAGTTAGTCTATGTTTTTATGATATTTAATTCCACAATAGCAGCCCTTGCAAGGAACCCAATCCATTCAAATCAGCGTGTACCCTCATGTTAGCAGTAGCTTCCGCATCAAGCCAAACAGGAAGGAGTCTGACGCCAAACAGGAAATAGTTCCAGTGAATTTCAAATTAAATTCAACCCACCGACTTAAACTAACTTGACAAATAAAAAAAACAGAAACACAGAAATAGAGGGGCTACTGGAGGATGAAAAGGATAGATGGATGAAGGGTTTTTCCCCTAGAATTCCCAGATAATGCATAAACATGCATGAACTACTTTTTTCCTGTTTCATCTTTCTCCTTTATCAACTATTGCTGTTATCTAAAACAAAATGTATACATTTGTCCTCTAAAAACATGCTTTATTAAATATAAAGGAAAATAGTTAAAAGCCTCTCCTAAATGTTGTGATTAAAAAGCTGAGCAGAACAGCATCCTCCCAATTAACAAAAACATCCTTCTCCAATGTGCCACAAATGCATCACTTCCATCTGACCTGTGGGAGCTGATGAGCCTTACCTTATGCCTGGGCTGATTGGGTGAGGACACCACCACCGTGTTACAGATTGTAAGAGCAATAAAGAAATCGATGATGTCAGAGAGGTCAGAGGGCAGCTGGGACATGGGCTGGCGGTGGAAGCGCATGAAGTCCATCTGACTGCTGCATTCATTGACTTTGTCCAAAAGCTGAGGGTCAGGGGTGATATCTTTCTCCTGTGGGATGGAGAAGGCGGTTCATTAGTGGGGAGCAGAGGAGAGAGTGATGGACGTTAGGACAGAGAGGTTTGCTGACCATGGGGCTGCTGAAGGCGGTGTGCTTAGAGAGGATGCTGGCGCGCTTGGCCTCCGCCCTGCTGCCGGTCCTGCGGTGGGACTTGGTGCTGTGTGAGCGCAGCACTACGCGCCCGCTGTGATGGCTGCCGACGCTGTCCCGTCTGGGCAGGGTGCCTCCGTGGGACAAACATTCCTCCTCCTCAGAATCAATTTCCTGATACATGGCAATTCTTCTTGCTGTATAAAGGACAACACACCATAAGGAGGAACTTAAAAAAAACAACATGTTTCCTTTATGCTGTGTGTGTCTATGTGACTCACCATTGGCATCATGGGAATACTCCACCCCAGCCACAGTGCACCGTCGGAACACCATCTTGTTTTCCGTCAGCGTCCCCGTCTTGTCGGAGAAGATGTATTGCATCTGGCCCAGATCCTCTGTGATATTAAGTGCCCTGCACTGCAGCTGAGAGTCTGTCTCCTCGTCGTACAGATCCATGTCCTGATGCATGAAGTACACTTGGCAGATCTTTACAATCTCAATCGACACAAACAGTGAGATGGGTATCAGCACCTGGGGGAGGAAAAAGTATTACAGAGATTCATTAGAATTGGGGGCTGCTCAGTGGCGCAGTGGGTAGCACTGACTATATCTGCAGCAAGAAGTTCTGAATTCAATTTCTGCCCCGGGTCTTTCTGCATAGAGTTTGCATGTTCTCCCTGAGCGTGAGTGGGTTCTCTCTGGGTACTCCGGCTTCCTCCCACAGTCCAAAAACATGACTATTAGGTTAATTGGCTTTTCTACATTCTCCTTAGCTGTGTGCATGAATGGTTGTTTGTCCCGTTTGTTTCTGTGTTGGACTGGTGACCTGTCCAGGGTGTACCCCACCTCTGGAAATAGGCACCAGCACCCCTCATGACCTCGCTTGGGATAAGCGCGATGGAAAATGGATGGAAGTATGAATTAGTCTGGTCCTAGCCCCAATGGAAAACTAATTGAACAAAGACAATTATTCACACCAACAGGTAATCTAAGAGCTTTGCATTTTGGTGCTTCTGAAGTTTATGAGCAGCTAAATTATTTTTACATTATTACATTATTTTAGACGTGCATGCCAATACAGCCCATTATATTAGCTGTGCTTTTATCCTCATCCAACATGTTAGGTTTGGAAATACAGATGGCTCTTTTGGAAACCTCAGGGGAGCATGGTACTGAAACCATGTAGATACTCAGGAATTTTCTGCATCAACAATGCTATCTAAAGGTAAATATGAAGCAATTTAGTGATAAAGTGGAGCTAATAAGACCAATGAGCCATAAAGATTAGCAGTTTAAGAATAGGGAACTTTGCTTCAAAAGGATATAATATAAAAGCAGGCAAAGTGCTGATTTTTAAAAAAGGAATTATACCTACTTGCAGTAACTAATGCCAAGTGTCAGTTAATACAGCACTAAGGCTGCCCTGAGACACCTCTGAATTATGAAAGGAATCTGGTAATAACAGCCAAGAAAAATATGTGACTCTTTAAGATCCAATTTGCACATAAGAACTGTAATCATACCAGTATTTGTTATACGCACCTTCCAATGAAAGAAAAAGCTAAACTCACACTATTATTTCAAGTAACACAAAACTGAAAAAGGTAATAATAAATAAAACAATACTGAATTATAATTTAATATAATATAATATTGATTTTGATTTATTGTACAAAAAAGAAAATAATAAAAAGAAATAAAAAAAACCCAGACAGGTAAATATAAGTATGTTTTTTATAAAAAGCACATCAAATGTAGGTGGTAATTGGATTGAAATAAAAATAAGGGTGTTTAACTTAGACATAATTTGTGCCAGGTAAAAAACAAAAACAAACAAACAAAAAAATCATGGCGGCGCAAGTAGTTGCAGCGGCTTATTGCTCTCATTTCTTATATTATGTGTAAATGGTGGTGAGAGTGATTTCTGTTTTTGTTTTTAAGCATATGCACTGATCGATCGATGGCACTTAAAAAATTTCGTTGTTCTTTGTGACAATGACAACGATAAAGATTTGATTTGATTGATTTGATTTGAAACACTTGCAGGCATCTAGTGAAGCATCAATTTAGTGGGTTATAGTAATCTAGCTTAGGCATAAGAAAGTCAAAGGTCAGGCGAAGAACATTAAATAAAAAAAAATAAAGTTCAAAGTTCAATGTTTAAGATCTGAAACTGACTCCCAGATATAGTGATAGTAGGTCAATTATTTCTTTAAAATGTTTAAAGGAATAGTACACCCAAAACATGATTAGCCTTCATTTTCTACTCACCCCCATGCTGAACAACACTCTGGAGTACTTTTTTGATATCTCAAATGCATCTGGAGATCTGGGAGGCTTCTTGCTGTCTGCTGACATTCAAATAATGGAGGTGCCCAGCGCCCGAGGCAGAAAGGTCCATAAAAGTCCACAAAAAACGTGTCAATATTCCTCCATACTGCTCGTCCAATGTATTCCAAGTGTCCTGAGTGGGTAGCGTCCAGAATTTACTCGAAACGAAGTCATTTAGAATGTTTTTAGAGCATAAACAGTAGTGTATAGGATGTCCTGAAAGCGCGCACATGCGCGTTCACGAGCCTATGGAAGCCGGCAGACCAAACCAGATGAAAGTGCGCATTCAGCGTCTGCTCTGCCAATAATGCAAGTGTAGAAGAAGAAATGTGCTGTTTACCTGTGCAAAGAAAGAAACAACGAAAGAAAAATGTCTGAGGACTTCAGTGTTGAGGAAGAGCATGAGTTCTTTGCCGAGCTGAATGCGCACTTTCATCTGGTTTGGTCTGCCGGCTTCCGTAGCGTCGTGAACGCGCATGTGCGCGCTTTCAGGAAATCCTATACACTACTGTTTATGCTCTAAAAACATTCTAAATGACTTTGTTTCGAGTAAATTATGGACGCTACCCACTCAGGACACTTGGAATACATTGGACGAGCAGTATGGAGGAATATTGACACGTTTTTTGTGGACTTTTATGGACTTTCTGCCTCGGGCACCATAGACCTCCATTATTTGAATGTCAGCAGACAGCAAGAAGCCTCCCAGATCTCCAGATGCATTTGAGATATCAAAAAAGTACTCCAGAGTGTTGTTCAGCATGGGGGTGAGTAGAAATTGAAGGCTAATCATGTTTTGGGTGTACTATTCCTTTAAGTCATCCAGGCCTTTATTTCCAGAATGACATTAAAAACTGAATAAACTGAGAAACTGTTGGCCTTTTAAGAACAACAAAAGCCTGGAAACCATCTAACAAAAATGGAAGAAAAAAAATTGTTTCATGTAAATAGAGCCAAAGGATAGAAGTCACAAGGAGAAAAAGAAAGGGACCAACAACTAAACCCTGAGGGACTCAACATTCAATTCAAATTCAAAAATACTTTTTCTATCCCAAAGGAAATTACATTAAGTATTAGATTGAAGTTACTCCAATAAAACAGCCCTAGCACCAACAAGCTATTTTAAATTTAATTTAGAACTACGCTGGGGGAGTGAACGCTGGCACGACTTGCTGCCGCTGCTCGCCGGTATTTTTGTATTCGTTGCTCACTGCCTTCGCTCACCGGTAACTTTTAAACTTTTTTACTTTCTAACGGACATACTAATTGTTTTTACTGGGATTGTTTTTACTGGGAATACGTCCACGATTCGTCAGCACTACAGGACTGTGTGAGTCCCAACTAGGCTACTACCAGTAGCTCACCTGTCCTGCCTCGTTTTCAGCCTCACCTGGCGTTTTTAATAATGTGGACCGGCAGGACATACACCCTGCTTGTCTGTATCTGGATATTCCTACTGCCCGCTCACCTGCAAGTGGCGGGTTTGCTGCAGTATTCACCCGCTGACCTGCTCCGGCTCCGCTGTCACTCCCTTGAACCTGCGCCCGAGGCTCTCCACCTTCACCCGGACATCACCTTCCAGCCACGTCGGAGATACATCCACCGAGGGTCCCGTCGGATTGTCCACCGCAACGGTTCAACAGCAATAAAATCCATCTGGTCCAGCTCCCGACGGTGGATTCGTCGCCCTCCATGCTCCACCAGCCGGCCTGTCGACCACAGCGTGTTAGCCCGCCTAGCTCGGTCGGCTAGCACCACCACCAGCTGCGACAACAACGCACTCAACTTTGCTCTGCTCAACATCCGTTCACTGACAAGCAAGGGACATCTCATTCAGGATCTCATCACTGACCGTAAACTGGACTTTCTCTGCTTAACCGAGACCTGGCAACAGCCCCAAGATTACTCTCAGCTCAACGATTCCACTCCTAGTGGGTTTGTTTACATCTCTCAACCCCGTGGTTCCGGTCGCGGAGGAGGTCGCGAGAATTGGAAAGTCTCGCCGGTATCAGCTCCAGTTTCAAGCACGTTTGAATCCACAGTCTGCAAGCTATCTGGTCCAACTCCAACCATCATTGCTGCTGTCTACCGCCCCCCAAAACCGAATAGTGCCTTTTTAACTGAGTTTGCTGATTTTCTCACCCACCTATCCTCTCTCTCACCAAACTTAATTCTGCTGGGTGATTTCAATATCCACATGGACAACACCAATTCGCCTCTCACCAAAGACTTTACTTCCTGCCTAGAGAGTTTTGGATGTCAGCAATACACCACTACCCCCACACACACCAAAGGACATATTCTGGATTCAATCTGTTGCTCTGGTATCATCCCCCACAACATAACATCTGATGAACTCCCCATAAGTGACCATTTTCTCCTCTCATTTGCAGTTAATCTTACTCTCTCAGTCTCTAAAACATCCCGCCTCATATCCTTCCGGAACATAAAGAAAATTGATCCCTCCACCCTTATTTCCAGTATCCACTCATCCTGCCTCCTTGACTTCAATAATCTGCTAACCCCTGATGATCTGGTTTTTCACTACAACACTGGTCTCCATAATATTCTTGACTCACTTGCTCCTCTAAAAAATAGATTTGTTTCTTTCTCTGTCTCCTCCCCCTGGTACACCCCAAATCTCAGAAGCATGAAAACCAAAGGACGGCAACTTGAAAGACTTTACAGAAAAACTGGTCTTACTATACACAAAGAAATGTACAATAATCACATTATGCACTATAAGGACTCCATTGCCAGCACCAAATCACAGTACTACTCCAACTTAATCACTGCCAATCAACAGAGCTCTAAGTCACTTTTCTCTATACTTAACAATACCATCAAACCCCAGGACCCTTTCCCCCTGCACCTTTACACAACCTCCTTCTGCAATGACATCATGTTATACTTCACAGAAAAAATCAAGAACATTCACCAGAACCTTGGATCAACGGCTCATCTCAACAACTCAGCAGATCTCCCCCCGCCTACACATTTATTCTCCTCCTTCCATCCTCCCACTGTCTCGTAAAATCACAGAGCTCATCCGGAAATCCAAATCATCCACCTGTCAACTGGACCCCCTCCCAACACAACTTGTCAAAACCTGCCTTCCCTCTCTGGCTCCCCTCATCTCCGCTATCATCCACTCCTCCCTCACCACTGGAACTGTCCCTACACCTCTCAAAACTGCTGCCATCACCCCGATTGTAAAAAAACCTGGTGCCGACCCCACCAACTTCAACAACCTCCGTCCTATCTCCAATTTACCCTTCATCTCCAAAATTCTTGAAAAAACAGTTGCCTCCCAGCTCCATTCTCACCTATGTGCCAACAGCCTGTATGAAGAATTTCAGTCTGGTTTCCGGCCAATCCATAGCACTGAAACAGCACTCATCAAAATCACCAATGACCTCCTCATGGCATCTGATTCTGGACTACTCACCATCCTCATCCTCCTCGACCTGAGTGCAGCCTTCGACACCATCTGTCACACCACCCTCCTCAGTAGGCTTTCTTCCATTGGCATCACGAGCACTCCGTTGGACTGGTTTATTTCCTATTTTTCTGACCGCACTCAGTTCATTCAACTGAAGACCCTCAAATCCACCCCCTCCCCCGTCACCTCAGGAGTGCCCCAGGGCTCTGTTCTGGGGCCTCTGCTCTTCATCATCTACCTCCTTCCCCTTGGCAATATCTTCCGTAAATTCAATATCCACTTCCATTGCTATGCCGATGACACCCAGCTCTACCTCACCACGCAGCCATTGTCCTCTCTTCCGCCCGCCTCCCTCACAAATTGCATCTGTGAATTAAAGGCCTGGTTCACCAACAACTTCCTTCAATTAAACAGTAGTAAAACCGAGGTTCTCCTCATTGGTACCAAATCAACTCTTTCCAAAACCGACAGTTTCCAAGTCAATATTGATAGCTCCTCCATCTCCCCCTCCCCCCAGGTTAAGAGTCTGGGTGTCATCCTCGATAGCACACTATCTTTCCAATCCCATATAAATAACATTACCCGGTCTGCTTACTTCCACTTAAGAAACATCAACCGCCTCCGCCCCTCCCTTACCCCACACACTACTGCCATACTTGTGCACAGCCTTGTCACCTCCCGACTAGATTACTGCAACTCACTCCTCTTTGGACTTCCTCAGAAATCACTCCACAAACTACAACTGGTCCAGAACTCAGCTGCTCGAATCATAACAAGAACTCCCTCTATCCACCACATCACTCCGGTCCTCCGACAGCTCCACTGGCTCCCCATACAGTTCCGCATTCAATATAAAATTATCATGATGACTTTCAAGGCACTTCACCATCTTGCCCCCCCCATATCTGTCAGACCTCCTGCAAGTTCCCACCCCCTCCCGTGCTCTTAGATCCTCATCTGCTTTGCACCTGTCTGTCCCCTCCGCCCGTCTCACCACCATGGGGAGGAGAGCATTCAGCTGCTCTGCTCCCCGCCTCTGGAACTCTCTACCACCCCAACTTCGAAATAAGGACTCAATTCTCCATTTTAAAATACAACTCAAAACCCATCTGTTCAAGATTGCTTATTCTCTTTAAAAATATCAATTTCACTGTCACAGCCTCTGTATTTTTAAATGTTTTTAAATGTTTTTATAATTATAATTTTTATTTTTTCTGACACTTTTTGTTTTGTACGGTGACCTTGAGTGTCCAGAAAGGCGCCTTTTTAAATAAAATGTATTATTATTATTATTAAATAAGAGAGTTACATCTAAAAAAAACAAGGTTAACATAGACACCAGTCTCACTTGCTAAAGGTGGATTATGAATAACCCTTTAAAGACCAGGTTTAGTACTGTGTTCAGCTTTATTGCAGAGGGATCTGAATGTACAAGAGGACTCTGTCCAACTTTTTCGTACAAACATTACTGGTTTGTGAGAAGCCCTCTTAAATAGGAAGTGGTTGTTTCCCCACAACCAATCTCCTTTCCTTATGTGAACCCAAAACATTGCAAATAAATGTATTTTAATGCAAGTTGGACAGTATGCTGGAGTCCTTTTGTAAATTTAGATCCTTTGTCTCCAATGCACTTGTCATGTTAAATACATGTCTGAACTACTCTATTAAATTACAGACTGAGGTCTAAAATAATAAAAAAGCATCTAGTCAACAGCTTTAGTGTGGTTAAATAAAATGTTAACGATGGGCTACTTGGAGGTGAGAGAAAGGCAACATCTTGCCACAAGCAAAGAACGCAGAATACCTGCTCTAAATGCGCCATACATTTAAGAATTTGCATGTGCTGATGAGTGCCAATTTACTGTGACATCAAGATGGTGGCCTATGAAAGATCCATCTGACCTTAAATCAGTGGCTCATGGAAGTTTTTGGGGTTTACTTTATTGGCCCATTTTGATCCCCTTAGTATGAACTTTATGCCCACAGTGGCTCATGGACGTGCGGCTCAGAAATCTGCACTGTGATAATGTCCATTAAACCTGGACCAACATCTTTGAGAAAGTTTCCAATGTACCTATACCACTTTTTTATGGCCATCGTCTGTGTTTGAAGGCCTACGACAGAGTATTAATTTTTTTTTTCCCCCCAAAACTAAAGTCGCAACGAGAATAGTCATAAAATTACAAGAATAAAGTCGTAACAATACCAGCATAAAGTTGTTAAATTATCAGAATAAAGTTGTGTTTTATGACAACTCTTACAAGAAGCACTGTCTTCACTAAAATGAGGAATGTCGAGCATCATGTGAACTTAATACTTTGGCTCTGGTTTGACAAAAAAGGAAATGATGAACACCAGCATCACATTGGGCAGGATGTCAAAGTGGACTCAGGTTGCTGGTTGGTGGTGCTGGTCGGCCGTCACATGCTGGTCGGAGCGCGAAGCTTTCTTTCTGAAATGGGTTGTGGTAGGATGACTTCATTCTCGTTATTTTCAACTTTTTTTTCGTAATAATACGACTTTATTCTCGCAATATTATTGCTTTATTCTTGAACTCAGTCACAGAAAGCCTGGTAGGCGGAGGCCAAATATAAACTTTTGATTTGCTTTCACTACATTTTTTTTATGGAAATGTTTGGGATGAACTATGAATTGACATTTCCATTGAATTTTTTTTTTGGAAGTTCCAAAGAATGAGTCATAACATCTGAGAGGGCAGTAAGCTCTGCTCACATTCTCCATGCCCCCGAAACAGTGTTTACTTCAGAGAGTTTCAACAGAGCTGCCTGGAAATGCGACTGCTGTTTGTACAGTAAAGCCACATTGCCTTCCACTCTGGCTTCTCATTCATTTCTAAATCAACATGAGATCAAAACCGAGCTGCCGTGTTTTTGACACGGATCAGGATGACATTTTCGACATAGATCCAAGTTACAAGCCGACAGATCAATATGTCTCAATGCTACTTTTTATGACATGATCTCATACTGCTGAGGCTTTGTGAGACATAAAATCAAACAGCTTGGTGAGTTTTTAGGTGAAAATAAGGATTTTAGAGACATCAAGCACAGTAGCTGCAATAATTTTAACCAGCTGTTTAAGTTAAAGCACTGCCTGTGTGCAGTGGAAGAGAACATTTTATAAATACTGATATGGTTGGTCTCTGCAGGTTATCTGAGTTTCACTTAGACTTTGTTTTTCTCCCCTTCTCCTGGTTTCGTACCTGAAAGACGATGATCATAGTGAGGAAGAGATAAATGGCTGACATGATGGGAGATAAGTCTGTCCCTTCAGGACTAAGAACGTCAAACACAGGTCTCTTATCTCCGTACTGAAACATCCACAGCCCATGACCTGGAACAGCAACCGGAGAGGTCAGCAAACAGAGAGGATACAACTAATAAGATCTAAAAAAAAGGAACAAACGAGAATGATTTCAAAAGGAGTTGGGAGATTTGCCCTCTCACAGATATCTTCTCTTTAAGGTATTTTGTCACTTTCAACTCAAATACTTGAGAGAAGCTTTGAAAATATAAAATGTAGTTTTAAATATGATAACTTCATTTTTAAGGGTAAAAAGCTATTCAAATTTTTCTGTCACTACAGATAGGCCAAAGCCTACCATATCAGTGTTTAACAAATAAAAGAAAAAAATAATAATAAAAAAAAAAAAGAAAAAAAATAAATTATATTATATATATATATTATATATATATATATATATATATTATATATATAATATATAATATATATATATATATATATATTGTGCTGTCAATCGATTAAATTTTTTAATCGCGATTAATCGCATAAATGCCTGAGTTAACTCGCGATTAATCGCATTTAATGCACATTTTTTCCTGATTGAAAATCATTTAAATACTCCGATGACATACAAAAAAATACATACAGGCTAGGTTTTTTTTTTTAAAAAAAAAAC